ATGTGAAAGTTTATCATTTTTCTTTGTGGTTACCCTGTGATTTATAATCTCCCTGAGATTAGAACAGTCCATTCTATCTTGCAACTATTTTGACTTCTTTACCATTTAGAAGTTCTGTAACTACACAGTGTTTTCCTTCTTTTGGTTTGTAGTTGTCCTCACTTGGCAATTGATGTCGCTGGATTCCTCTTTACAATCTTGTAAGCTTATTTTACTTTGGATATGTCCATAGCTGTGGTTTTTGGGTTGTGTCATCTTGTGTATTAATGGTCAGTTGTTATTTGCTATTTTTGTTTCTCTGTTCAAAGGACTCCCTTTAGTATCTCTTTTAAGGTTGGTCTGGTTTTGACAAATTCCCTCAGTTTCTGCTTATCTGGAAATCTAATTTCACCATCATATTTGAGGGACAATTTTGCCGGGTATATAATTCTTGGTTGAAAATATTTCTGTTTCAGGGTTTTATATATACTGTCCCATTGCCTTCTCGCTTGCATGGTTTCTGCTGAGAATTCAGAGCTTATTCTTACTGGCTGTCCTTTGTAAGTAACTTTTTGCTTTTTTCCATGCTGCTTTTAGGATTCTTTCTTTGTTTTTGGTTTTGATGAGTTTGATGATGATATGTCTTGGTGATTTTCTTTTGGGTTCTATCCTGTTTGGGGTTCGCTGGACTTCCTGAATGGATATATTCTCATCTTTCATCATATCAGGGAAGTTCTCCTCCAACAAATCTTGGACAATTTTCTCTGTGGTTTTATTTGTCGCTTCCTGTTCTGGAATTCCAGTGACACATAGGTTATTCCTTTTGATGATATCCCACATGAACATTAGGCTATCTTCATTTTGTTTTTATCTTTTTTTCTGATTGATCCCTTTCCAAGAAGTATTCAGGTATTTTTCTTCCATCTCATTAATTCTGTCTTCCATTGCATCAGTTCTACTCCTTTGCCCTTTCAGTGTGTCATCTATTTCTGACAATTTAGTATTAATCTTCCGGATTTCTATCTGTAGATTTAGAATAATTTCTAATTTGTCTTTATTTTTTCTTTTTGTTTTTGTATTTTCTTCCAAAATTCTTCTAGGAGTTGGTCTGTTTTTTCCTTCTTCTGCCTCTCAATCCTTTGAAGATACCTAAATATAATTCTTTTGAATTCCTTGTCAGGGAGTTCCAATGATGCTTCTTCCACAGTAATGTGTTCTGGGTCTGTATCCTGCTCCCTTGTTTCTACCACTTTATCTTGCTTCTTTGTGTGGACTGTGATGGGCTGTTGTCTCCGAGATATCGTGGCGTTACTGTATTTAGATCTCTGTTAATTGTTTGTGAGGAGCAGCTAAGGGTAAGTCAGGCTGTTCTTGGTGGTGGTTTATTGTAGGCCCGTTGGTGGGGAAGGAAGTGGTTCCTCTCAGTAAGTGAAGCTGCAGGAGGTGTGGGTGTAGTTGTGTCATATGGGGACTGTTGTTGGCTTCTATTCATTTAGACAATAGTAACAATTGAATACCCATCAAAAAAGTAAAAGCAAATGGACAAAAAAATACACTCTGTAATCACACTGGAATACTAACTAAAAAAAGAAAAAAGGGAAAAAAGAAAAACCCAGAAGTATCTGGGGAGAGGGCAATAAGAGAAAAAAGGTGGAGAAAGAGAATAATGAAGAAGAAAATGGGAAAAATGCAATAGGAAAAATAAGGAATGAGGTTAACCATGAGAAAGAAAAAATATTGCAACCAGGAACAGGGAAAAGAAAAAAGCTGAAAACTAGTACCTGGGAGGGGAAGAATAAAGAATAATAGTAAAAGGGACAAACATAATAATAGTAGTTTTAAAACAGACAAAACCCAACAAACTAAAACAGATAAAAGAAAAAAACACATGGGAGCAGGGCAGGGCACTCAGGGTCCGTCGGAGCACACAGACTGGGGTGGCGTTCCTGTGGGCCCAGAAGGTGGGTTGGGAGTGAGGGATGGCCACACTTCCATTCACCAAAAGGGTGTGGGGTATAAGAGTAACAAGGGGAATGTTGCACTTTTCCATTCATCCAGGTCTGGAATGCCCTTGGGATTACTGGCAAGTTGAGCCTATTATTAAGTCTGTAGAATCTGGGAGAATGCTGTGACTTTAAATATCCAAAATGGTCAAGCTGCTTGTAAACATTCAAAATGGCTGTGCCCTCAGGACAGACAGAATTTCACAGCTCAGCCTGCTATCCTCTTCGCTGCTTTCCCTTTTATTCCCTAGCCACCAGAGCAGTCCTAAGTTCTTAAGTCCCTGGAATCTGGGAGAACACTGTGACTTTAAATATCCAAAATGGTCAAGCCGCTTGTAAACATTCAAAATGGCTGTGCCCTCCAGACAGACCATAGTCCACAGCTCAGCCCTCCATCTTCTTCACTGCTTGTGAAACATTCAAAATGGCTGCACCCTCCAGGCAGACCAAAGTCCACAGCTCAGCCCTCCGTCTTCTTCGCTGCTTTCCCTTTTATTCTCCAGCCACCAGAGCAGTCCTCCATGCAGTCCCTGGCTAGCAGGGCTGCTTTTTGGGTTAATTCTTAAGTCTTACCACCACTCGGCAATATCCAAGCTGTCTGTGCCATCAGGATTGCTGCCAGACTGACACTCTACATGTCTCCTTTTTTGTGTTTTCATGCAAATTCTTCTGCTAGTTGGTGTTCAGTCCACTTCTATATCCTTCTCTTCAAGGCTCAGGGGTCAGGTTTATCTTCTGTATCTGTGTTAATTGGTACCTCTTTCCTTTGTTGAAGAGGGTCTGTGCAGTCTTTCTGCCTAGTCTGCCATCTTACTGGAATTCCTAGGTTCCTGTTTAACAATCTCTATGCATACCATTTAGTGACATTGGTTACATTTTTCACAGTGTGCCAACATTCTCATTCTTTCCATTCTGATTGTACCATTTCCATCAATCTAGCTTTTCTGCTCCCCTCACTTGCTAATTTATTTCCAAAAATTTTTTTTAAAAAAATGCATTTTATTGAAATATAATTTATGTACACTGAAATACACAAAACTAAAGTGACATGGGTCAATGCATTTTTATTTTTTTTTGGCAGTGTTCTCTCCCTTCCCCTTCCCACCCCTGGCAATCAACAAAGAAAGTTTCCTTCCATATATAAACCTTTCCCTGACCCTCCACCACAATGAACTAATAATACTGTATTTGTCCTTCTGTGATTGACTTATGTCCCTCCAAGTTCATCCATATTATGCGGTATTTTGCAGACTCTACATTATTCTTTAGTGGTGCATAGCATTCCATTATGTGTGTGTACCATACTTTGGTCATCCACTCTTCCGCTATAAATCTTAGAGATTAGTCCCTTGCCGGATATGTAATTGTCGACAAATATGAATTTGTTGTCATTTTTTTAATGTGCTTTTTCATGGTGTTCTTTGTTCCATATAGTTTTCTATGCTGAGCTAGTTTTGTTTATGAATTTAGTATTTGCTGAATATTTATGCTGGTCCTCTTTTTTGATGTGAAGGTTTATCATTTTTCTTTGAGGTTACCCTGTGATTTATAGTTTTCTTTTCAAGTTTAGAATTTTGGATATTTAAATTCCCATTCTATCTTAGTTGTCTTGACTTCCCTACCATCTAGAAGTTCTGTAATCATGCAGTTTTTTCCTTCTTTCTGGTTTGTAGTTGTCCTCATTTGTAAATTGATATCTCTGGTTCTCTGTTTTCAATCTTGTGGGCTTCTTTACTTTGGATACTTCCATAGCTGGGTTGGTTTCTGGGTTATATCACCATGTGTGCTAATGGTCAGTTGTTGTTGGCTGTTGTTGCTTCTCTGTCCAGAGAACTCCCTTTAGCATTAACACAGTATTTTTAAAAATAATAAGGGAGAATTATTATTGATTTTAGTGGATATTATGTTGAAATTGTGGTTAAGAAATTAAAAAGAAAGAAAAATATATATACACTGAGGGAATTATAGGTCGAATAACATACCTGCTTTAAAATATTCCAGTCTCCAAAAAAGTGTGTAGAGGATGGTAGATGAAACAAGACTGCCAAATGTTGATAATTATTAAAGCTAGGTGATATGCATATGGGGGTTCATTATGTTAATCTGTTTATGTTTATGCTGGAAAATCTTTTGGTCTCAAAAAAGTACATTTTGAGTTGTAAGTCAGGCTTAATTTTTGATATAAAAATTTAAAAGACAATATATGCATATCTGACAGATACACTTAAGAAAGTGTGTAGATTGTAAATTTCTTGCAGACAGGGACAGTTATTTATCTTTTTATACTTTGCAGTGTCTTGCCAATATTTGCTGATGAATGTGCTTTTTCCTTTGTGGAAAATTTTTTTTTCCCTTAAGCTATTGCTTTCAATACTAAAATTCTGATAAATTAAGATACTAGAATTATTTCTTTGCTCTGCTTCATTATATAATCAATGAATATTTATCTCTGCCTTCTCTGAAAAATTAAAATTTCTAAAATGGAAGTGTTTTTATGAATTATACTTTTTTGGAGTATTTCAGAACCTTTATGTCCTATTGATGATCTGAGACATAGTACTAGAACTTCTGAAACATTTGGCCTCGTAGATACCTCTGTGTACATTCCAGTCTTGTCCCACCTCCTAAGCTGTATTTGAATTGACTTTATAAAGGAGTTACTTTTGGCAATATTTTCTGCAAAATGAGCTTTGCTGGTGGATGTAAGCATGATCCTGATACGGTTTATGTTTAATGATCAATTAATTCACCAAATATTGAATGCCTTCTATATGCCAGGTAATATTTAGAACAGTAGGAAATATAGCATGAACAAAGTCTCTACCTTCATGAAGCCAACCTTCTTGCAGATATGAACAAAAGTAATCTCTTGACTTTACATAGACATTTTTCTTCTTTATATTCTTCCTTCTAATACTAATAAAAAGATAAGATAATTTACTCGCTAATTCAAGGTGATCTTAAAGTTTGATGAAGTGAACTAATACTAACTTTTTCTCTTTTTTAAAATTTTTACAGATGGTTCCAATCCCTATACATTGAAGCTTTGCTTTTCTACATCATCGCATTTATAAGAAGAGATGAGCATGTTAGAGTTTATGTTCACCTTTATTACAATTTTAAAGCTACACTTCATTTTAAAAAATCTAAAGTGGTTGGTCTAATGTTGCCTTGCTTATTTTGACTTAAGGTCCTGTTCTGTAATAAACAGATATTTTGCCTCAAGTAAATTTGTTGTAAACTTTAATATTGAATTGTTTTCATTTTAAAATAGAATATCACAATGTAGACTGTCTACAGCTTCATTGTAGATTATGCAAATATATGATTTCTAACCTTATTACTATGATTTTTCTTCCACAGTGAAAATATATTTGCATTCTTAATGCTGATTATCTGCAAGTATTTTTCCATTGTGTATGAGATTAATGCAGGTGAAAGTATTGCATTTTAATATTATAGAATTCCTATTATATGTTTATGTTTAGATGTTTAAGTATGTTACAGTTGTTCATATTAAACATAACTTGTATTTATTAAGTATTTTAATCAAGTTTGAGGATAACATTGCACATATTGAATTTTAAGTAATACAGATTTATCTGATTTTATATTTCTGAAAGGCTAACAGACATACGGATACACTTGTATAGTATGCACTCAAACTTATTTAAATTGGTGTCTTTTTTTTTTTTTTTTTAAGTCATTGTCCATTTGTACTGACTTGCCTCTATCTGTTTCTAGTTCCAGTCTGGAGATTTTATAAAGTTAAAACAATGGGTTAATGTATTCATCTTTATTTGTTGCATGTGACTTAATCTTGAAAATATATCTAATACTTGACATTGAGATTTTAATAGAAGCTATGATTAACAGTTCCTCTAATAGATAATAATCTGGAATTCATGGCAGGTCTTTAGGGAATCTGTGAGCCCCCTAAAGCTGTATGTAGAATTTTGAGTATTTGCATTTTTATTTTTTACTCTTGGATCCATCAGTAATATATGTATTTTTCTATATGGTGCAAGGTGTAAGGATCTAATTTTATTTTTATTCCAAACAGATAGCTATTTGTGTCAACACCATTTATTAAACATTCTTTCTTCCATTGGATCTGTTTTTTTTTTTTTTTCTTTTGGAAAATAATATACATAGGCAAATAAGATTTAAGGACTAAACATGACAGTAAGAGACTATAGCACACTTGTTTCAAGTTTACTGCATTTTTATAATAGAAAACTGATGTAGCCATTTTATTTTCATCTTTAAAAGAAGGGAGAATATGTGTCACCTACCTGAAATAACTATGAACTCCATAGCTGGCAATAGCAATTTTGTGATCTTGAGACTTAAATAAATTTACAAATAAAAGTTTCACTTAGATCTTTTGTAAAGGCTTTATTTTGGATCTTCATGTAAAAAAAAGGTAATTTTGCTTTGATTGTTTTAGAAATGAAGTGTAATGGTTTGAAAATATATATATAAAGAGCTATTGAATGGAAAATTTAGGTTGAAACCAAACACTTTAATATAGTTATTTCCTCTTGAACTTTGACAGCAGTAGACCAAAATATCCCTTTAGCCCTCTAAACATGTAGGGAAATTTAAATTGAATCTAGCATTTTAGATCCTTATCTTAGTTACCTAATATTGCTGTAACAGAAATACCACAAATGGATGGCTTTAACAAACAGAAATTTTTTTCTGTCACAGTTTAGGAGGATAGAAGTCCTGATCTCTCTTTGTTGGCTCTGGGAGAAGGTCCTTGTCTCCTTTCAACATCTATGGGTCTGGTATTCTTTGGAGATCTACTTTTGTCTTGGTATTAATCTTCCCTGGGTCTAAGAGGTTCTCAGCACAGGGATCCGGGTCCAGAGGATCTCCTCCAGCTCTTCTTTCTTGGTAGTACTAAGGTCCCTCCTCTGCTAGCTTCTCTCTCCTTTTATCTCATAAGATAAGAAGCAATGCAGGCCACACCCCAGGAAAACCCCCCTTACTTTGGATCATGGCTGTGACCAAATAAGGGTGTTGCATCCTACCCTAAACCCCTTACAACTGAATGGCAGATCACATCAGGTCACATGGGGAATGATTACATCATTGCAGATTACAGCATTACATACCTACTAAATTACTGAGGATCATGTCCCAGTCAAACTGACATGTAATTTGAGGGGCCATTCAATCCACAAAAGGAACTCTGGTGGTGTAGTGCCTAAGGCATTTAACAGCTAACTGGAAGGTTGGCGGTTCAAACCCACCATCCACTGCGCAGAAGGAAGACTGGACAATGTACTTCCATAAAGATATGCTACGTTGGAAACCCAAAGGTAGCTATGAGTCAGAATTGACTTGTTGGCAGTGGTTCAATCCACAATAGTCCTTATTATGGGACCCAATACGTTATGGCGAAGGTAACTTGAGAATGAACTGTAAATATATGATACTGGACCATGTATGTTTCTTATTCATTGCCAGTTTAATACCTAATTTTACAATAAACAAAGCTTTTTTCCCCCCTGCAAATATTTTTCTACATTTTTTTTTTGTCTTAACTTTAAAAGGTAGCTTGTAATAGTTGTCTTCCTCTTCTCTGACAACTAATAATGGGTTGTCAATATTACAGATTTTTTGTGTCTAAGATTTTAGGAAACAAACCTGTGAGTAATGGCAGAGCTCATGTAATTTAGAGTTGCTTTAAGTGGTACTGACTTTTAGATGTGAACTCTATTTTGATGCTTTTTCCCCACCAAAAACACAAGTTTATCAAAGAGAAAGTAAACTGGTACATTGGGCCTTGCTACAGTGACTGTGGATGGTTGTGTCAGCTCTGTAATGCTGCTTTCACTCATGTCTCTGCATCTTGGGCATGACCACTGTGATTGGAGCCTGCTTTGGCAGTATTCCCTCTTCCCTTAGCGTTGACAACTTTCTTTCCTGGGCTTTTTGCTTTTAGGAGAACGCGAACAGATATTTGGGTTTGTAAAGAGTAAGTAGTACTGGCTCTGGGTTTATTTTTTTCAAATTTGATGTGAACTCTATTTTATCAGTCTCCATTATCTCCATTAATCCAAATCCCATTAATTATTTGATAATAAATCTGCCAAAGCAAAGTATGGACTATAAGCTGCCTTTTAAAATCCTCACTTAGATATTGTGTGTTGTGGTGTTGTGTGCCATCAAGTCAGACCTGACTCATTGCAACCCCTCCTTGGGTTTCCAAGGCAGTATTACTGCGGAAGTAGATTGCCCCATCTTCCTTCTGAGGAGTGGCTGGTGGATTTGAACTGACAGCCTTCTGGTTAGCAGTCAAGTAAGTGCCTTAGGCACTATGGAACTTAAAAATTCTATCTACTCGTGTAAATTAAATCTTTTTTTCATTCAGTCATATAGTACTATCAATTGAATTAAAAGAAAGCACTGAATTAGTGACAGTTCCTGATTTGGAAACTTCTGTAGCTCCCTTGTGGTATGACACAGATAATCAGATAGGCCAAGCTATTGAACAGTCTTGAAATACTTACTTGGAGTCAATAAGAGAATTTGTCATCCCCACCACCCATAATACCAAGAGAAATCAAGAGGTGATATTGATCCTTTCTGGGGAGTAGTTAGGTTATAAAAGCCTAGAAAATAAGTAAATGGCTTGACTGTTACCATGATTTTAGTGTAGCTTATTAGGTATTTAAATACCTAGGGAATGGCATTGGGGCAGTGCAACTTCATTACAATTTATTATAGTAAAACCAAACTCAATACCGTCGAGTTGGCTCCAACTCATAGCGATCAGTCTTTGGGTTTCAGAGGTGGTATCTCTGTGTAAGTAGATTGCCCAGGCTTCCTTCTAAACTTATCTGCTTATGATACTTTCTGCATGTGGTTTTATTTATTTTAGATAACCTTTTTCCTAGGAGAGAGGGGGGAAAAAAAAAGTATACCTGTAATGCCTGTGCTGCACAGTAATATTTGGCAGTGAATTTCAACTTTAGTTCTGTGCTAAATCATATGGGGAGCTTCAGTAAATACTGATATCCTGGACCTGACTGCAGATTCGTGCTTAATTAGACTGGAGAGTATATGTATATGTATATAAATATATACATATATGTAGACCAATAAGCAGCATCATGATAAATGGAGAAAAGATTGAAGTTGTCAAAGACTTAATATTACTTGGTTCTACAATGGACCAATGGAATCAACACCAATGGAAGCAGCAGTCAAGACATTAGAAGACGTATTGCATTGGGCAAATCTGCAAAAGCCATCTTTCAAGTGCTGAAGAGCAAAGATACCTCCTTGAAGACTAAGGTGCACCTAACTCAACCCATGATATTTTCAATTGCCTCATATGTGAGAGCTGGACAATGAATAAGGAAGACTGAAGAAGAGTTGATGCTTTTGAGTTGTGTTGGTGAAGAATACTGAGAGTACCATGGACTGCTAAAAGAACTAACAAATCTGTCCTGGAAGAAGTGCAGCCGGAATGCTCCTCAGAAGCAAGAATGGCCAGACTTTGTCTCACTTTGGTCATGTTGTCAGAAGGGACCATTCTCTGGAGAAGGATATCATGCTTGGTAAAGTGGAGGGTCAATGAAAAAGGAGAAGGCCCTCAATGAGATAGATTGACACAGTGGCTGCAATGATGGGCTCAGGTATAGCAAGGATCATGAGGCTGGCACAGGATCAGACAGTGTTTCATTCCGTTGTACATAAGGTTGCTATGAGTCAGAGATGACTCGACAGCAGCTAACAACAATAACATAACACTTAAAGCAAAATATTCATTGATTTCCATTTAGAGTTTATCTGTATTAAAGTCCCAAAGCATGAATATAAAGTAGATAGTTACTCTTGGTATAACTGTAGACATACAAAGGAAAAAATAAGAGTTTTGTTTTTCTAGGTTCTACAAAAAGCATTTTAGAAATGTCACTTGTAGCTGTTTGGCCTCTTGGACATTTAACTAATTTGTCCAGCATCTGTGAAGTACATGCAGTGTGCCATAAGCTTGGGCAAATGACTAGCTTTTAAAAGTCAACAGGTTAATTTAGCTTATAAAGGAAGCAAAAAAGGAGCTCTAGTGGTGCAGTGATTAAAGCATTTGACTGCTAACCAGAAGGTTGGTGGTTTGAACCCACTGGCTGCTCCATGGGAGGAAGTTGAGGCAGTCTGCTTTAGTGAAGATTTACAGCTTTGGAAACCCTACTCTGTCCTGTAGGGTTGCTAT